TATATATATATATATATATATATATATATATATATATACACACACACACACACACACACTTCAGGTGGGTTCCTCGTCACCATGAGCTTCGTATCTTGCTGACCACAGAGTTTCAGAAAGTTGTTTGACCCCACATCGTCCTAAAGGTTTTAGCTTGTCGCAAAGCAATTACCAACGATGTTTTGATGCAGATAGAGATCTGAATAACGTTTGCACAGTATCGAAGAATCTTACAACTGTAGGGAAATACTCGGCACTACTTTTTCCAACCAAGTTTAATGAACGAGATGCATACGGTATATAAGGGTTTCTGTCACTGTCGATAGCTTAATCACCATTATATCTTCTATTCATATTGGAAACATTATTATAAGATCAGTCGCGACAATTTTTTTTTATATCAATACCGTTATCCTACAAAAATGGCCAGTGTCATTTCAGCTATTTTGGCCACTATGGTCTAACATCGATAAGAACGTCAGAAGTCTTTTTTTCAGGACCATTTGGTAAAACATAACAAACCACATAGGTGAGTTAATCAGAATGTGTGACATCTAGTGTTGAATCGACAGATAGTGAATAAAACTGAGCAGATTTTAATTATTTGACCATCGCCTGAGGTATGTTGCTACCCATAAGACACATTGGTTCTCCACAAATAGTAGAAGATAGATATGACTTGTGTTCGCCTTTTTTGGCGAAGAGCTTGATGTGTTCAACAATAAACGGGTTATACACTGCTAGTAGTCTGATAAAAGATGCTTTGTAAGCCATTTTACAAAGCTTAGAACTTTATTGGATAGTAAATATGATTTCACTAAGGGAAAATCTTTCCTTACAAATCTTTTGACATTCTTTGCAAAGGTTACTGCTTACGTAAATGAGGGTAAGGTTGTAGATTTGGTGTATTTGGACTTTCAGAAGTCTTTGAAAAGGTGCCATTTAAAAAATTATATCTTTAGGTGTGAGGAATAAGTTAGCTCATTGGATAGAAGATTGGCTGGATGGAAGAAAGCAGAGAGTTGTTATACACGGAGTTCAATCAAACTGGATTAATGTCACAAGTGAGATACCTCAGGGCTCAGTCTTAGGACTTTATTTACAGCAGTGACATAGATGAAGGAATAGCCAATAAATTTCTTAAACTTGATGATATTAAGGTTTTGGGTGTTGCTAAAGTGAAGAGGAAGCTGCTGCTTTATAAAAGGATTTAGATCATATAACGAGTTAGGCAAAGAAATAGCAGATGGGTTTCACTTATAATAAATGCAAGAGTATAATTTGGATGGGAATAACCATAAGAGTGTCATGAAAGAAAGGGATGTTGGTGTAATGGTTGATCAGCCTCTTAAACCATCCAAGCAATGTGCTGTTGCTAGTGGTAGGGCAAATAGGAGTTTAGATTGTATCTACTGAATACAAGTCTAAAGAGGTTATAATTGCACTGTATAGGTCACATTTGGAGTATTGTGTTCAGTCTTGGGCTCCTTACCTTAGGAAGGACATTCAATTGTTGGAAAGGGTTCAGAGGAGGGTTACTAGAATGGTGCCTTGGATGGATGGGTTGTCATGCGAGGAAAATTTTAGATCTCTGAAATTGTTTTCTATTGAAAAAAAGAAGAGTTAGAGAGGATGTAATTGAGGTATTTAAAATTGTAAAGGGAATTGATAGTGTTGATGTATACTCTTTTTTTGGTACTTAACGGCGAGAATATTAGGACTATGGAACAAATAAATTTTGGCAGGGTGGGAGTCATCTTTAGCTAAGACAGTTATTTTTCTAACAGAATTGTTC